AAAAGAGAGAACAGAGAAGACAGAAAATTAGATACAAAGATTAATAGAGATCGAGAAAGCAATCAAAAGAAAGAGAAAATTGAAAACATATAATGTAAGATAGAGAGTGAGATAGAAATAAAGGGTGATAGAGCAAGAGTGAGAGAATGAGTGAGAGAGAGAGAGAAAGTACAAAAAAAAAGAAAGAGACGGATAGAAAAACAGAGTATTTTACCTTTCCAAAATAAATTCTTCAAAGCTACTTCAAGCCCAAAAGAAAATGCACTATGAATATAGTGTTAGGCTAGGGCAGTATTCATTCTACTCCGTCAGGGCTATGAATCAACACAGTTCATCGGGGAGGACACTACTGCCTACATGTATCTTGGAAATGTTGGCACCCTGACCTTCAACTACCTTCAATAGGTACATTACAAATTTTGTAATTGTGAATAGAAACTTTTTATCTCAATGGAAATTATGTACATTGTGGTATTTGAAAAATTTATTTCTTGCATTTAAACTTTTTTTTATAAAGAAATCATTAATAGTTTGCTTTCATTTTCTGTTGATAATTGCTCTCTCTGTAGATTTTAATTGATTTTGAAACACTGTAATTTTGAATATTTCGAAATTTTGAAATGAACATATTAAGGGGTGGTAACTTCAATGGTTTTATATGTATACTCAAATAAAAATTACCAGTTTTTACCACGTGTAGCCAGTATGAATTGAACATGCACACCCTATTACATTTAATTTTATTTCATGAATTTACTTTATTTATTTCCTTTTACAACTTGGTTACATATCTAGCAATATGAGATAAAATGTAACACTTCAAACGTTTACAATGATTTAGGCATATCCTTGAAACTGTTGAAAACATCTTCTATATATTTATTTACATATCAATTTAACCAAACCAACTTAGACAAAGATAATGACACTACTGCATTCATGCAAAAAGTGCTTCAAGAATTGTTTTAGTAAACAGTAATGTTTAAGTACAAATTGAAAGGGTTGTGTCTATAAGACACATTTGATCCTTCCTCCAATTAAGGTTAAAGATTCTGTTATTGGTTGAATATTGAATGAAAATCAATATACTGTTTAAATACACATTATTAATAATGTATCATACCCTGTATAATATTAAAGTTTTAGTTGTATGAGGAGTAAGCCGGTCAAACCTTGTACCCACCAGCATGCATACTTTCACTAAAAAAAAATCAAAATTCAACATTCTGTCATTTGTGGAAATTTAATAATAAAAAAAAAACATCTCGAGAAAAAGCACCCTATTTTTATATGTAAAACACTCAGAATAATATTTAAGTTTAAGCTTGGAAATTTGTACGAAGTTAGCCGAACATACCATGTATCCTGCATGCATATATAACCAAAATGTCAAAGTTCAGCAGCAGGCAAGGAATTGGATTCAAAATTTGAATGGGCTTGATTCCACAAAAAATCTTTGCAGAGTGTCAGGCAACACAGAAATTTCACTCTTGACAATTGTGGATTCATTTATTTTCGTGGTTACCAATTTTGGTGAATTGAGAAAAACTAACATTCTGGTGGATATTTAATTTCACAACCTTATAGAAAATGTGTAATTCATTGAACATTTAAATTCGTGGTTTACCTGTACCAACGAAATCGACGAAAATTGGATTCCAAACGAATAATAACGAATCTACAGTATGAGGATACTTTTATTTAATTTTTCTAAAAGGTATATAAAATGCATTATGTTTTATAAATTGTTAAAATAGTTGTTTTTCTCGGTTTAATTGTTTTACATTTTTAAGGTCGGAGACATTGTAGCTTATAATACGGTTTGAGATTTGTTCATTGTTGAAGGCCGTTCTGTGGACTATAGTGCTCATATCTACGTCATTTGGATGGGGTGGAGAGTTGTTCATAAACAATCATAACACATCTTATGTTTATTCATAAAGCTAATTATTGCTGAACTTCAATGATCTTCTGTAATAGATGTACTAATGTTATTTAAAGGGGCATTAGCTACAAGATATGAAAAGAAATAATGAAAGTGAAATAGTTAAATAATAATTCGTTTTTAGTAGACTATTTGATTCAATTTTGTCAAAATAAGCTAAGAAACATCGCCGATGAATTATTGACTTGCAAATAAACCACTTGGTTGACTGATTCGCTCCACAAAAAAAAATCATTCTTATACAGTAAAAACGAAGATGAGGAGACTTTTTAACCTACAATATGAAATCAAACAGTCCTAGAAAAATTCAATTACACGTAGTCGCTATCTACTTATATTTATATTTATGTTTATATCGGGTTATATGACAATCGGCTGTCTTCGGAGGTCATCTCGATGGTTAATTAGATGGCGTCTAGACAAAAATACACTCGAAATGTTGATACATATTATCGAGTCTATGCATTGTTTTTGAAATTTGGATATATTTTTTAATGAGAGCTTTATCTAGCTATAAAACCAGGTTTAATCCATCATTTTCTACACAAAGAAATGCCTGTACCAAGTCAGGAATATGACAATTGTTCTCCATTCGTTTGATATTGTACATGTTAAGCTTTTGATTTTGCCATTTGATAAAGGACTTTCAAATTTGAATTGTCCTTGGAGTTCGGTATCATTGTTATTTAACTTTTTAGTATGTTATAAATCAAATATGAAAATCTAAGTTAAATCTGTGAACATGAGTTTGACAGCTAATGCCCCTTTAAAGAGTTGTGAAAGTGTTTCATTTGTTATTTTTTCGTCTTCATTTTCATTTTGTTTTTTTGTTTTTTTGTTTGTTTGTCTGTTTGTTTGGTTTTTTTTTTTTTGGGGGGGGGGGGGGTCTTAAATAAAACTAAATGATGGGTCCACATCCCCTGGATTTATTTCAGTTGCAGGATCAAAAACAAAGGTTTGTTAAAAAACTTTGAAGTTTTAAAAATACTATATGAAATGCTTAAATTTATATTTATGTTAATATCGGGTTATATCACAATCGGCTGTCTTCGGAGGTCATCTCGATGGTTAACTAGATGGCGTCTAGACAAAAATACACACGATATGTTGATACATATTATCGAGTCTATGCATTGTTTTTGAAATTTGGATATACTTTTTAAGTAGAGCTTTATCTAGCTATAAAACCAGGTTTAATCCATCATTTTTTTGGGGGGTGGGGTCTTAAATAAAATTAAATGATGGGTCCACATCCCCTGGATTAATTTCAGTTGCAGTTATTTTTTTTGGTCTTTTCATTGATAAATACAGCACGTCCAAAATCACTAAGAGCGTTTCTATTTACATTGAAAGAGACTAGCCAATGGCAAAACTTGTTACTGCATTCAAATGGGCTGCCTGTTTCAAGCAGTTTGTATATAATATAGATATATATAATACTAGTAGTTAATTTTATTTATTAAGTGTTATATGTTACCGTCTTTGTTTTAATTTTTGTATTCAATTTATTTATTGTATATATTGTCTGTTTGAAATAATTACAAAAAATGTGAGTGCTAGAGAGAAAGGTTCAAACGTCAATTTTTTTCTGAAAATGACCTGTTTTCTAACACTTCAAACACATAATGTTATTTTGATTACTTCCCTGTGAAAATTTAGATCATTCCAATTCCCGTTAGTGACGCAACCTCAACTTCCTTAGCCTAACAATTTTCAGTAAATGTCCATTCGTTTTAACTTGTGTATTTTTTGTCAGGCCTATAATGTTCTCTTATCAGACATTCATATGTTCCAGACTTATTCAAAATGCATTCTTTAATTTCAATGAGTTATTGAAAGTGTTACCTTAAGTTGTACATGACCGGTAATTTCTTGCATTAAAAATATCTAATTCAATTAAAGATACTCCGTTTTTTTTGTGTGTGGTCAACCGAATGTTTACGTTATCTCTTTATTACAGGTAAAGTGTCATGGGTCTTCTTGAGATAATCACATGTTCTATTGTTGTCATTCAATTTTATTATATTCGCACGGGTTTTAGTACAACGACAGTATAGTAGAAGACTGATATTAGATATTTGTTGGTTCGGCATTTGATTTATTTAAAACTACTAGTAAATTTGGTATGCAATTCTGGTTCGCAATGGAAACTTTCTTTGAATGAAACGAAGTATGTTGCTATTATGACATATCTGTACTAGTGATTTTATAAATCGAAGTCTTAGATGCAGAAAGAGACCCAGGATATATAGTCAAACCTTCAAAATGTATTTATTAGAATAGAGATAACCGAGTGACACCATGCTATTTAAATTGCCAATTGTATCGTTAAGTGAACACTTATACAGCTGAGTATAGCTGCTGTTCATTGATGAACAGAAGCGGCTTTTCTCAGTGGTATCAATTATGTTGTCGATTTATTCAAGGGTGCAATTACCGATTTGATTCTGTTATTACACACTTTTTAAACAAATTACCTCCCTTTGTCAATCGTAGACTAGTTCTATATCGGACAAAATTGGCTTTTGCCCACGCAAAGCATGGTAAGTTGAAAGTGATCTATCAGCGTTTTAACAAATTTTTAGTGAAAAAACTTCTGTTATCAAAAGTATTTAGCTTAACAACAAATTATATGTAATTAAAAGGTTTGAAAAACTCAAAGGTTACACACATTACGCACAAATAAATTTGCTCTTTCCGCTAGCTCTCTATTGTCTATAAAAAATGATGTCCCTCCTAAGGTAGACAGCTAAAAAGGGATCTACAATAACAGGGTCAAGCACGGGAATTGGCAAACAGACTATTGCATCAAAAAGTAGGATAACTTGTACCATCACTGCATCCAATTCTTACTTTTGTCAAATTATATAAACATGCATGTCTTTTATTTTTTTTTTGTAAACAAGATAGGTTTTGCATCGTTCTGATTATGCTCTGCCTCTCTGGAAAGATGTAAATATACTTTCATCTAGCATCGGATGAAACTGTGTATAGAAATTTCACCAAAGATACCAGTTTTATAATTGTGTACCCCATGCGCGCTTTTAGTCTGCACATGACTCATCTTAGACGCACGAATCAAAACAGTTGTGAGGTCAAATTTTTATAAACTTAGTATATCAAGGAAATATTTCAGAATGATAATACATTAGGAAATAATTCTCTGATTTTGATGTCCTTTCCATTTTAACATAGCACTTTAAAGTATTCAGATGTCGGTTGTAATGATAAAATGTATTTGCATTATACTGTGCGTGGCATATGGATATAATGTCTTCTGCCTTACGAAAGAAATACCATGTGGAAAATATGAAGAATGCATATGAATAGGGGAAAATGCAACATGTTCATTATTACATTATATTCCGGCGCTACCACGAAACATAGCCAAATTAACATTGAAAAATAACACTCTAACGCTGATCAATCAGAGTGTTTTTAGTAATATTTCTTCAATCAAACTCAAAACACTATGTTTTGAGAACAATTCAATTGAAACAATTGAAGATGATGCATTTTCCGATTTCAAAGTTTTAACCGAACTAAATATAACGGATGAGAAGTTATTGAATGTAACATCATTAAAATATTCATTCAAGAGTTTGCCTTTTACCACGATTAAAAAGTTGTGTTTAGAAAAAAACGACTGGAATGAACTTCCGCAGGACATGTTTAATTTTTTATCAAAAGCTAATATCTTTATGTCGCTTAAAAACAATTTATTGACAGAACTAAAGTCAAGTGTTTTTCTACCAATAAGGAACCTACAGACACTACGTATTGAAGAAAATGAAATTGTATTTGTCGATCTAAATGGTCTTAGCACAACTGAATTACTGGATTTATCAAATAATAACATTTATTCAATACCGATTTTTTGTAAAAACACCAATAAAACGTTTGTCCCGCAGTTGAAATACTTGTCACTTGCGTACAATAGTATTCGAAAATTTTCCAAAGAATCCTTTAGATGCTTAGGCAATTTAAAAAATCTTAATCTTGATGGAAACCGTATTCGAAGCCTGGGTGATAATGTCTTCGGGTTATTATATGATCTGAAAAGACTTTCAATTGGAGATAACCAGCACCTGAGACACATAGACTCATTTGCATTTAGTAGTTCATCACTAGAGGTTCTACGTTTGCATCGAAATCATTTCAGATTCATTGAAAGAAAATTCAAGAAAGGAGTTTCTAATGCGTCTATCATTTTTAGAACTATTCCTAATTTGAAAGAATTGGATTTATCTAAAAACCATTTGACGGATTTTGTGATACTGAGAAAACTTTTTTCATCCACACGAAATATACGCAAACTTAATCTGGCATCGACAGGTATAAAAACAATCCCAGACGGTTTTTTTCAAAAAATGCCACACATTGAATGGTTGACATTGCATGGAAATGAACTGGAACTGTTGAAGCAATCAATTTTCGAAAATGTGTCTTCCATGCGTGAGTTGTATCTTGACGGAAACAATATTCATGTTATAAACGAAAAGTCGTTCCCATCATACTTACTGAAATCTTTAGACGTACTAGAATTATCCGGTAATCAATTTCAATGCACATGTGAGATAAAATGGTTTTTAGACACAATTAGATCAACCAATTTATCAATAAAATTGAAGAAAAATTGGCCGAAGTATTACATTTGCCACTATCCAGATAACCTAAAAAAATCACTTCTTGCAGATTATTTTCCAACGACAGCAGAATGTAATCCTTTGAACATTTTGTCTATGATAATAATAACTGCATGTTCGTCTGTTTTAATTTTGCTTGTCTGTGTCATATTGACCTTCAACTGTCAAATAAACATTAAAAACGCTGTATACCTATTTCGTTTAAAGCAACGTATAAAAAATGGGTACTTTAGTCTTGAATCGTCAGATGATTTTGAGTTTGACGCGTTCGTTGTTTATTGCGATGCCGATCGCCTATGGGTCCATGGGGTTCTGCTTAAACATCTAGAAAATTCTAACCTTAATATTTGTGTTCATCATAGGGATTTTGATGTCGGAGACACAATCATGAACAATATTGGAAAATATATGGCGAAGAGTTGGAAGATCATCGTTGTTTTGTCAAATAACTTTGCTAAAAGCGAATGGTGTCAATGGGAGATTGATCTTGTACAAGAGCGGAGGCGTCGACAGGGAAAAGAAGTTTTGATATTATTAATGTACCAACAGATTGATTCAAAACACATGACTACCCCGCTTAGGACATTACTCGAAACAACACCTTATTTGTCTTATAAGGAAGGGTTTGGAGAGTATTTGTTCTGGACTGCTGTTATGAAAGACACAAACAAACCTTTGAATATTCCACCAACTTCTATTTTCTAAAAAAAAACCAGAGGCTCACGAGAACCTGATATCGCTTACCTGTAATTTCAGTTTCGGGCATTTGACATATTTGCTGAACATTTTTTCCATTTACATTTTCACTCTATCTATTATATATATTAAAGATAATAACCAAACACAGTAAAATGTCATAAAAATAAACTATATCGGACAGTAACCCTACAATGGGTGGTCCAATTGGTCTGAAAATTTAATAACAGATAGATTTTGACTTTTTTGTCACTTTAACTCATTTCACTTTTGCTCTAACTGCTATAGTTTTTGAGATAAAAGCCAAAAACTGCATTTGACCCCTATGTTCTATTTTTAGCCATAGCGGCCATATTTGTTAATGGATAAAAATTTCGAATACAATTTATAAACCTGTTACCCTAAGGAACATTCAGTTAAAGTTTAGAAGTATTAAGCCCAGTAGTTTCAGAGAAATTATATTCAAGATAATAACCAGAAACAGCAAAATATCCTTAGAATTACGTATTTAGTGGGAGCAACCCAACAATGGGTTGTTCGGTTCGTCTGAAAATTTCAGAGCTGATAGATGAATCTTTTTATCCCATGTCAGATTTGCTCTAAATGCTTTAGTTTTTGAGATATAAACCAAAAACTGCATTTGACCCCTATGTTCTATTTTTAGCCATGGCGGTCATGTTTGTTGATGGATCAAACCTTCAGATACAATTTATAAACCAGATACCATAAGAAACATTCAGTTAAAGTTTGAAGGTATTCTTATCTAGGCCTAAACAACCAAATTAAGCTAAATGAGCATTTAATCAAAAACTTTCTAAAATAGTTGAGAACCAAAAAAGACAGACATGAAAACTATAAAAGAGAGACCAGCAAGTCATAAAAGAGAGACTATCAAGCGTGTGATTTTTCAAATATAAATGATTGTTTTGTAAATCAACACACAATTCTTCAAACTTAAAGGCTAACGCATATAGAAAATAAGATATAACTGAAGAATACTTTGTAATGAACAGTATCAACAACACTTAAACTTGTAACTATACATTGTCTGCATGTCTGCCGATTTGGAAACATTTTCACGTTTCAGTCAAACAAGCTTGCTTTGAAATCATAAAATTCAAGGACAAATATGTAACGTCTCCCGTTCGGTTTTGTCCTCAATCTATATTTATTTAACATTATTTATGTAAAATATGTACATGATGTATTATCCCTAGTTTCCAGATCATGGGTCAAATACATAACAAGATGATTAATTATGTTTCAATTACATACTAGTTTTTTTTTCAATTAAATTGCAATTACAATTTCATTTCATTTCAAAATGTTTTTTTTTTACATGCATTGTTTAATATAAACAAATTTGCTCCAGCATTGCTTTAAATTTTAAAATTTCATATTTTGTTGTGGCATATTATACAAATATATACAAATTTCAAAGACATCTGCTATTTGGCATTTCAAGACCATTGATCAATTATGTTCTATCAATTGTTGGTGTCTTCGTCAGATTTACTATCAAGTACAATAATTGGGTGGGTTTTTTTTTTTTGGCGTCTTTTTCAAATATATTTGTATATTTGTTGGATTTTATGGTCAGATGTGTTGTATATCTGTGATGTAGTTTAAACAGTTTTGGCTTCTTGGTCTCAATTATTGCCACATTTACTAATAATGTCTGTTTGGGTTGCTTACCCATTGTTGTCAATATAACGGAACAACAAACAACTGTCATACAAGTAGGAGGTTTTACATACTTTAAAACCAAGGGCATAATTAATGAAATGAAACAAGAACAGTTTACATGTGTGAGTACATCAGAGAAACAATGAACGTTTTAAACTATCAATCAAATAATTCAATTTGAAAGAAGCTTAATTACACATCAATTTAGATTATTTTGGAATTTGTAATTGAATTCCAGGTCTGCTTATTTCATAAAATACTTTTATTAAATGTGTACTTGTCGTTTTTGTTTGAATTTATTTGTTATTCCCGTTGATTTCCATTCTGTTGTATCATTCAATAGTAGCCTTTCAGTACTGTCTTTAATTCTTTAGTATTCACAATTCTACCGTTTTAATGATCACTTACCAATAAAGGAATCTTCTTATTGAAAATGTAAAGGTGCAGAAAATTTTTCTGCAGTGTCTGGTAATTTAATATTGTTTTCATTTCATTGTCATAAAAAATCTAACATATTTGAAAACCATTTTATTGTTTCACAAAACAACAATGAAATAGATAATAACAAAAACATTAATATTTCTTATTATACTGTTTAAAGAGCTTGTGTCATTCACCTTGGTCTATGTGGATTTTCAACAAAGGACACTCTCCAACATTCAGTAAATGAGAATATAATTCATGACTAAAGAAGATAGTTTTGCATAGTTTTTCTCTATCTTCTTTAGTTTTTGACCAAAACACAAAAGAGGGCAATCACTCCTATAAAGAGTGACAGTCTTACATTTTATTGTTAAACAAAACAACAATGATCAGCAATACTCAATAAAAAAACAGCTAACTCCTATAAGTAGGTTTAACAGTTTTAACGTATATGGACAATCGGCAGACCTCAAATTTCTGAACATTTCTGACCTGTCAGATTGTCTCTATTTATAACGCTTTTCAAAATAATAGACAAAACTTGCATTTTACCCCTAGGTTCTATTTTTAAGCAAGTTGGCCATCTTAGTTAACTAGCGTGTTCATCAGGCACATTTTTTCAAACAAGTTACTCTGATCATGATAGTGGCAAAATTTGATTAAATTTAATCAAGTAATTTCAGAGGAGAAGATTTTTGTAAAAGTTAACGGAAGACGGACGACGGACGTCAAGTGATGAGAAAAGCTCATTTGGCCCCTTTGGACTAGGTGAGCTACAATACATCAGATCATATTAGAAGATCATATTTTTTGGTGTACATATGAGTCATACATAAGTTATATGCCTTGCAATCAGACCACATTGTGCGTGCCTGTACTGTTAGCCTAAAATATTACAATCAGTAATGAATTTAAAGTTTTGATTTTCACTTTGTCATGCTTTGTCACATTTTACCATGTGCAGTTAATTACAGGAAAAGATTTGAGAAATTACAATTATGTGTATCTCTTTCTGTATAAGGCTAAATTCCATCAAATTTTTTTTTGTTTTTTGTTTTTTTGTGGACCTAAGCTCCACAACCAATAATGGTTGCATGTCTATTTAAGGTAGTATGGGTGTCTTTCGTCATCTTGAATGTAAAGTAGAACAGCACCTAAGGTCCAGATTTTCAATCAAGTAATGCAAAATTTGATGAGGATTGCAATTAACTAATGTGAATATTCATTTAAAAGAACAAATTTATAAGGTTTTATCTTACAATTAATAATATTTTTACAAACGTAGATTATTTATGCTTGACTTTCATTTTTTTTAAATTAGCGTATTAAGGAGAGGTTACTCTGAAATAGTACATTTTGCAAAGAAAACTACATGAAATTTGGCTTTTTTATGATTTAGCAGGAAAAAAAAACATACGGTGACCCTATCTTTTCTTTTGATATTCTGAAAGCATTTTCTAAAAGCTATTTTCTCGTATTTTATTTTACAATTCTATCATTTAGTTCAGTTTCTATTCACACAATGATGTTTTTTCTTGTACAATTCAAACAAAATGTGTCTTTTTTCACAATCTGTAGCTTGAGAAAAAGCTCGGAGACCTATCATTTTTATTATATTTTTGAACATATCATAGTATATACTACGTTTTGACAAAGTATGAACAAATTCTATCATTTTTAATTTATACACCCATGACCTTAATATGTGCACAATTACTCAAGACAGTATGTCGGTTTTGGACAGATTTGGAATTGACTTTCCTACCTTACCACAACCAAATAAAAGGAGCAATCAACAGAACAGATGCATATAAAAGAGGAATATCTATCTTATATTAAAAATAACAAACAAGAAAAAGAGAATGCAATGCAAAGTAACCTGAAATAAGATTACATCTCGAAACTTTAAAATTCTAAATTTAAGACCCCAATAAAACCTTGTAAGTGTATAATACCAAAATACATACAGAACATGAGCAAAAGTATGCTTCGATAATATCATATTGCACACATATTTCAAATTGGTTAAGTCATCGATAACAAAAATATGTTATTCAAGCTTTGCTATACAACAAAAGACTTATTGTATGAATATTGGTGAAAATAATCTCTCTTAGAATAAACCTTACTGGCAGTGCCATAACAATCTACTAGGGACAATATTCACCAATTTTCAATATTACCCATATATTGTTACAATTGTTCCAATTCTTTCAAAAGCATTGATCTGATATCTCTTAAATACATAATTAAACTAAACCATACATCAATCAGAAAACCGTTTATATTTATTTCTTAAAACAATTAAACATAATGCAATGAACATTTCAAAGGAAAACAAATGTTTTAACAAATTCTTGTCTATTCAAATCTAACCCCTTAGATCAAAAAAAGATTCTGATCAGATGGGTTTTGTTTGTTTGAAAGAAAAGTAATAATAATTTGAGTCAAACGAGATAGTCAAACAAAATAAGGATGTAAAATTTTATAATAAAAGCAGCATGGTTCAAAGGAACCTCAAATATATTAAGCTGAAGCTGTATAAAAATCCCACTTGAATAATGTGCACACAACATAAAGTTTGTATCTCCCAGTCTCAATGATTGATAAACAAACATTTAATTAATCAATCCTCTGATTGAAATATAAATTTTCCTTTTAATAGACGACTTTCGTTCTGTATAATAACATTGAAAACTGAATAGCATTTCAATGTACCATTTTTGTTAATCAGAAACGAAACCATATCTAATTGCACAAACATGTAAAATATTGGTACCACAATTTACTGAGAGTATACAGAATAGAAAAAATGGACTGAAAAATAAAGAATATAGAATAATGAGGTGGTGAAATATAAAGAATACGGGAAATTACGTAAACGAAAAAAGGATAGAGAACACGCCATAAAACTTAAAAAATACAGAAATGAAGAAATCCCACCACTTGAACCCCGTACCCCAATCAAGACCCTCGATATTAGCCAAAAATATTTTGATGGATACTACATGTATGTAAAACTTTTAAATATATCAATAACGTAAATGTCGCAAATTGAAATAGATATAAAATGCAACGAAAAGACATCAGAAATTAAATTAAAAAAAAAGAAATATCAGATAAATCCAATTGCAGACCATACCATTACTTCATCAGAGACAAGAGTTTTTCATGTTCGGTTTTAAAAGCGTAGTCAAGTCTATTATCACAGATTTGTTACCGCCAATGTATATCACTGATTGTCCTGGCTTAAATTAAGTTTAGATTTCTTCTGACTATTTCCTTTATTCTTTAGAACAATCCTCAGTTGGAATTTAGGTTTCTTTTTCACTGGTTCATTAAAATCATTTTCAAATTCATCCTCTTTGTCATTCATGTCTAATTTAAGTTTCTGCTTTCCGCTTTTCTTTGATCTAACAGTTTCCATTTGTTTAACAGCGTTGTTGATCATCTGTAGACATTTTTGGTCATTTTTTTTAGGACTTGTCTGTTCAAGTAGTGTCTGTGTTTCGTCTTGTTCAAGCAATGCAAGTTTTGTTGTTAAAGTCTGATGTCTGGATATCATTTTAAGTTTCAGTGGTTGCTTGTGAAATGATCCCAATATCAAAATTTGTGAATCTCTATGATAATAATCGGTAACAGATCCACTGAACTTTGAAACAGTGGCTTTACTCACAAACACATTTTTCAAATTGTTATCAGTAACCACCTTCTCGTGTATGGCCTTCACCTTCTTATCAGAATTTTTAAGAATGTATTGGCCAGGCTCTATTCTGTCAACCAGACAAATAACCTTATTTGACCTTAACAGGACATAAGCTATAGATGATAGTTAGGCAATGTGTATAAAGACAACTGTTCAGCCATTACATTTTATATACAACTAACGTATTTCCGCCCAAGGCGACGTCACTGACAATACGACGTCGACAATGGACAAGTACAATAGTACGGACGTTATGTTCCCGCGACAATCTCAACATACTGGGGCCGCGAAAAGTAAAAAATATCACAATTTTCTAAATAATCTCAATTATCCCTTGATCAATCGTTTCACTGATAAATTACTGTCCATCAATAAATAATAATACTTTGAAATTGTCTCTCGCGTTGTGTTTTTCTTTGAAATACTGAGAACATGAAATCATTTAAAACGGAAATTACATTTAGCAATTAAAATCAATTAATGTCACTCATGAAATAAGAATAAAATTCAACTTTGCACTAAAACGCGTAATTGTCTATCAATTACATCACTAATGGTCGTCTTTCACATCATTGGTGTATCCACTTCCGTATGGTCTCACGGGCTTTAAGACTTGCTTTTCGTCTCGGTCTGTTCTCCATATTTTCCTGCTGATCATCTATTGGAACGTTAGAATTGTTTGTCATCGTTTGTGTAACTTCTAATGGATATAGTTTTGCGATCGGTCTAGTTGTTTCCCCATTGTTGGTCCTTATTCGTGCAGATCTTACAAGTCCGTCGTTACCTCTCGCCAGTTCGGTTACGATCCCAATTTTCCAGTTTATACGCGGAGATTCGTTGTGAATTTGCACGATGTCTCCTGTATTTATTAATTGTTCATTTTTTCCGGTAGTCCTATGAAATTCACGTAACGACGTAAGGTATTCGGATTTCCATCTTTTCCAGAAATGTTGAATCAATTGCGTTTGTCTTTGTACACTTTTATTAAGATCGTAATGTCCCATGTAAGTCGGGTCGGTGATGTTATCGATTTCTGGTTGTGGGTACGGTAATGTTGAAATGCGCCTTCCGTATAGTAGATGAGACGGTGTTAAAGCTTCACAGTCTTTGATATCGGACGATGGATAAG